AGTGGTCACATGATTTTCTCAGGCTAAAGGGAGCTTGTGTAATTAGAAACTGTTGAAGCCGAAGAGGAGAGGTCACTGCCTCCAATTCTAGGGCTTTGACAAAATTTTCCCTAGTTGCTTCCTTTATCTTCCATCTCCCTTCCTATTCTTTCCATCTTCTGCTGGATCACTTGCAAGGATTCAGCGTTACAGAGGTCCTCCTTCCCAAGTCCAGCCTGGAGAGCCCTTAGAAAGGTGTCATAACACATGTATCTTGAATGGGCCAGTGAGCTATGCATGAGGCTTTCAAAGGGGTGTGGTACTCAGTGACACCTTCCTCTCTTGCCTTTAACACTCACTCTAGCATAAGGAACGAATAGATCATTAAATGAACCCCCCTGATTCAAAAGCCCATAGGAGCAGACAGTTTTCTATTTGTTTTTTAAAAAACCATTTAAAGTAGCTTAAGACAGAGCACATTTACTAGTACTGGGATGCTCCTAGAGCTACTTTAGAGGGCTGAACATTGCATTTGTTTGTTTCCATTAGTCTCCATTGATCATGCTTGGCTAATGTCCTCTCCAGCATCACCCTGAAGAAACCCTCCACCATGTAGTTCTGATCTAGATTAGCATTTATTCAATAAATATTTATCGAGTGCTGTATTAGTCCATTTTTGTTGCTTATAACAAAATACATGGAACTGGGTAATTTATAAAGAAAATGAAATTTATTGCTTACAGTTTCTGAGGCTGGGAAGTCCAAAGTCCACTTGGTGGTGGTGACAGTGACCCAAGGGTCTCACATTGCAAGATGGTGGAAGCAGAGAGAGAGAAAGACAGACTCTCCTCTTCTTTTAAAGCCCTCAGAACCATACCCTTGACCACCATTTTTAATCCATAGACTACTGCACAGTCTTACAATCCAATCACCTCTTCAAGGCCCCACCTTACAATTACCATAATAGGATTTCCCACCCTCTTTACAGTCACAGTGGGGGCTAAGTATCAAATACAAAAAAACTTAGGGGACAAAATTCAAGCTTCAGTGAGTTTGGGGGGACATAATTCAATCCACTACAAGTGCCTGCTATTTGCTAGACAGTCTTCTATCAGCCTCTAGATTGGTATTCTTACTGAACTACTGGGGATATCTCTCTCATGCTCTAAATACTATAAAATTTCAAGTCCAGAGGTACCGGTCCCAGCCCTGGGGCAGGGTTTCAAACTCTAGGGGAGCTCAGCAACAGAAGTGCTGATGGGAAGAGCTTGAGCTTTCAAATGGTTTTCAGAAGCAAAGAAGTCTCAGAAGGTTCTTAAGGAAACAATACTTAAATATTGGTATCATTATGGAAAACAATATGGAGGTTCTTTAAACAACTGCAGATAGAACTGCCATATGATCCAGCAATCCCACTGCTGGGTATATGCCCAAAGTAATGGAAATCATCATGTCGAAGGGATACCTGAACTCCCATGTTCATCATAGCTATACTTATAATATAACCAACCTAAATGTCCATTGACAGATGACTGGATAAGGAAAATGGCATATATACACAGTGGAATACTACTAAGCCACACAAAATTCAACATTCGCTCATGATAAAGACTATCTACAAGTTAGGTATAGATGGAAAGTATCTCAACATAATTAAAGCCATATATGATAAGCCCACTGCCAATATCATCCTGAACGGGGAAAACCTGAAAGCTTTTCCATTAAGAACAGGAACTAGACAAGGATGCCCACCCTCACCACTCCTACTCAACACAGTGTTGGAAGTACTAGCCAGAGCAATCAGAGAAGAGAAGGAAGTAAAGGGCATCCAGATTGGAAAAGATGTAGTCAAACTGTCCCTGTTTGCAGATGACATGATCCTATATATCAAACAACCTAAAGCTTCTACAAAAAAACTCTTAGAGTTGATAAATGATTTCAGCAAACTTGCAGGATACAAAATCAATGCAAAAAAAAAAAAAATCAGTAGCATTTCTATACTCCACCAGCGAACATGCAGAAAAAGAAGTCAAGAAAGCTAGCCATTTACAATAGCCACCAAAAACACAAAATACTTAGCAATAAAGTTAACAAAGGATGTGAAAAATCTCTACAATGAGAACTACAAACCACTGTTGAGAGAAATTAAAGAGGACACAAGAAGATGGAAAGATATCCCATGCTCTTGGATTGGAAGAATCAACAATGTGAAAATGTCCATACTACCCAAAGTGATATACAAATGTAATGCAATCCCCATCAAAATTCCAATGACATTTCTCTCAGAAATGGAAAAAACTATCCTAACATTTATATGGAGTAACAAAAGACCATGCATAGCCAAAGCAATTCTGAGCAAAAAAAATAAAGCTGGAGGCATAAGACTACCTGATTTTAAACTTACTACAAAGCTATAATAACCAAAACAGCATGGTACTGGCATTGAAACAGACACACAGATCAATGGAATAGAATAGAGAATCCAGAAATCAACCCATCATGTACAGCCATCTGATCTTTGAAAAAGGCCCCAAGTCTATACATTGGGGAAGAGACTGCCTCTTCAGCAAATGGTGCTGGGATAACTGGATATCCATATGCAGGAGAATGAAACTAGACCCATACCTCTCACCGTATACCAAAATCAACTCATAATGGACTAAATAATTAAATATACACCCTGAAACAATAAAACTTCTTAAATAAAGCATATGGGAAACACTCCAGGAAGTTAGGACTGGGCACAGACTTCATGAATATGACCCCAAGCACGGGCAACCAAAGGAAAAATAAAGAAATGGGATTATACCAAACTAAAAAGCTTCTGCACAGCAAAAGAAATAATTAACAGAATTAAGACAGCCAACACAGCGGGAGAAAATATTTGCAAAATATACATCTGACAAAGGATTAATTTCCAGGATATACAAGGAACTGGAAAACTTCACAGCAAAAAAACAAGTAACCCAATTAAAAAAATGGGCAAAGGAGCTAAATAGGTATTTCTGAAAGGAAGATATATGAATGGCCAACAGACACAGGAAAAAATGCTCAATGTCACTGAGCATTTGGGAAATGCAAATCAAAACCACACTGAGATATCATCTTACTCCAGTTAGGATGGCTAATATCCCAAAATCTGTGAACTATAAATGATGGTGAGGTTGTGGAGAAAAAGGAACTCTCATACACTGTTGGTGGGACTGCAAAATGGCACAGCCTTTATGGAAAATGGTATGGAGGTTCCTCCAACAATTGCAGATAGATCTACCATATGACCCAGATATTCCATGGCTGGGAATATACCCAGAGGAATGGAAATCATCATGTCGAAGGTATACCTGTACTCCAATATTCATTGCAGCACTATTTACAATAGGAATCAGCCCAAATGTCCATCATCAGATGAGTGGATACAGAAAATGTGGTATATTTACACAATGGAATGCTACTCTGCTATAAAAAAGAATGAAATACTGCCATATGCAACAACATGGATGGACTTAGAGAAAATTATATTAAGTGAAACAAGTCAGGCACAGAAAGAGAAATACCACATATTCTCACTTATCTGTGGGAGCTAGAAATGAATGAATATTCAAACAAACAAGGAGGGGCTGGGAAGAAGACAAAACAACCACAATTCATTGACGTTGTTAAGACAAGCAAACAGATATGAGGTTGATGGGAGGGAGGGGGGAGAGGGAGGATTCCATAAAGGGACACAAAAATCAGTCACATTGTATATTGTTAAAATAAAATTAAATTAAAAAAATAAATAAAATAAAATGGTGAATGGTGCCAAGTGGCCCTTTCTTGAAAAAAACAAAAAAAGAATGAAATTCTGCCATTTGCAGCAACATGGATGAGCTCAGAGAAAATTATGTTGAAAAATTATGTGAAATAAGTCAGGCACAGAAAGAGAAATACCGCATGTCCTCACTCATAAGTGAGAGGGAGGGAGGAAGGGAGGCAGGAAAGAAACACTACTACAATAATACATTGAACTTTCAGAAGGAGAGAACAGAACTGTTGTTACTAGAGGTGGGAAAGTGGGAAGGGGATGGGGTTAGCGAGAAATTGGCTAATACACAAAAAGAATGATTATGTTTTATAATGATGGATGTTAATTATTCTGATTTGACCATCACATATTATATACAAATATTGATAGTCAAATATGTATAACCAATTATGTTTCAGTTTAAGAAAAAGAATGTGAGTTGGTGTGGCATAAAGATGTAAGAATAGAAACTGCTAGAAAAAAATATTGGTGTCACGCAGTTTTACAAAAACGGCTGCCACCTGTGCCTCATGTGGTTCTTCTGGGACATGATTAAACTGGTCAGGGACCGTGGGATTGCTGCAGCAGCAGGGCATCCATCAGGTGATCACAGGGCTGGAATGCACATTGAGGGTTAGATTGTCTAAGTCCCTGCTTTTATTTCAACAAGAAAACCTTTTATAAATTTGAAATGTTCTCCCAATGATATTTCCCCCATCCCTTAGGAGTCTGGTAATTTTCTCAAGCAGATCTCATGAAATTATTTCTTAGATTTCTCCTAACTCTGAAAGAAATAAAGGTCATCATCCATTTCCCAACATATGGCTCAATCAACCAGACCCTCACTCTCACTTTGCCTAAAAACTATTGCCTAAGGCAACTATTGCCTAAGGGAAGTAGTAATCAATGGAAAAGAGAAAGTCTTTGGAATTGCACTGAAAATACTTTTCTCTGTTTCTTGGGAGTGGGTGCATTTAGCAAAGGAAGCAATACAACTGCTTCTTTCTTTTTCATATTGGGTAATAAGACCCCTGAGCCAGGCAAAGCTGTGATTCACACGGGTTCCATTTTGGATCATTTGCAGTAGAGCTCTTACTCTGGAGATACCTTTCTGCCCGCTTATTCTAGTGGTGTTAAGAAATGGAAAGTAAAGGTGGCACAAAAGTGGGGGTGAAAGTCAAGAACACAGTACCGTCTGTTAGGCAAAGAGTGACCAAAAAAAGTTCTCCAGCCCAAGTACAATTCAGAAAGAGTTTAATAAACAGCCACTAAACATTGCACCAAAGCATTTGAAACACAATTTCTACAGAAAGGCAAAGGTCAGGCTTCCATCTAAATTTCTTAAGACAATCATTGACAGCCCCGCCCACCCCACCCCCCATCCCCACATATCCACAAGACTATACTCTTCTAGTCATAAATTTACCTACAGACACGGTCTTAAGAATAATGGGACTGGCATGCATAATCCCAGCAATGGCAAGGAAGCAGGGGATGGGAGAAGAATGTATGAAAAAGGCAATCAGCAGCCAGTGATACACCCCTTAGGAGCTTTGTTCAGAGAGCGGTCAGGGAGAATCTCCTTATGGTGCCATCTGTGACTTTACCTTGGGCTTCTAGGATACTCTGGGCTAGTGCAGATATTCAGATCCAAAGTGGCTGGGGCTGCTGTCTTAAACAGTGGTCTCCTTAGATGACACATTGTGACTTTCTAAAAAACCTCTCTGATGTCCATCCAAACTGTACTCATGACCCAGAAGGCATACTGAGATTGTGCTGATTCTGAGGTCAAAATGGAGCTGGCTTTTCAGTCCTTTCTTCATTTTGGCCTTCAGAACGGGGCACATAATAGTTCTTTATTAAAGACACTTGTATGGAGCCTAGGCAGACCATTCAAACTTCTGAGACTCGGTTTTTCTACCTTATAAAAATTTTGTATTTATACCTCTTCCTTTTACTCACATTATGATTAAGAACACGTAATGAGATCAAATGGCCTCTAAATAATGTATTATAAAACTGGTAATAAAGTTAATGAATTAGTTGACTCAAAAATTGACTAGAGATATTTGTATGAATTTCTAATTCACCCCTCATAGAATCTGCATCAAAAGAGGACCAGAGGTTTCTGACATGGTGGGAGCAAAATGCCTGGGCCTGGGCTAGAGTGTGGAGTGTGGAGGGTATGGAAAAATGAATTTGACCTTTACCTGCCAGTGGTCTTCTTTTTTGAGCCAGACTTCAATCCTCAACTACAGTCTACCCCAAACCTCTTGCCCTGTCTGGTATTTTATTAGTTGCCTTGGCAGGGAGATAACTTTCCTATCTTTCCCATATTTTTAAAATTCTCATGTAGGCATTTGGTCTAGATTTTTTGTTGTTGTTTCTATTTTTACCTTTTTAGTTTAAATAAGAAATATCTGATCTTTTTTCCTGAAGAGTTTGCAGGCAGTAATGAGTCCAAACTAAGCAGTGCCCAGCTGGCTACAAATGGGTCAAAGGCATTGAAGGAAAAGGATTTTCCTGGAAGGAAGATATACCAAGAAAGATACTATTTTCCCGAGGGGCTGGACATAGGAGGGCACCAGCCATTTTTGTGCCAGGCTGGCCCAGTTAGTTCTATTAGTTTTGGCCATACATAGTAGACAGTGGCGAGGCTCAGCTGTCTCCACTCATCTCCAAGCCAAGAAAGGCATTGGGGGCCATGGTCAGATGTTATAACTGGCTCCTGCCTTTGCTATCAGTACTTATGCCTTGTAAGGCCCGGCTGCAGGCAGGGGAAGTGACAAGCAGGACCACATGGGATAGCCCAAGCTGGTTCACTAGTGTCAGAATCATCTGATCCAGACCAGTCAACAATTCTCCTCGGTCTGGACCTCTCAAAGAGCCAAGGTTCCCACTAGAGAGAAGAGAGTCTCCTGTTCTTTCTGCAGTGGGCAGAATGCAATAAAATACATGCAGTGCCCTCAGCTGGGGGAGACTGGCAGACGAAGATGAGCAACTGGACAAATGGCAGTGTTTGGCTCTGATGGGGGTACACTCAGCAATGTTATAGGGATAAGTAATTTTTCTGTGGTCAATTTTTCATTGAGATTCACAAATATGAATTGAGAGTCCCAGCTTGGTAGAGGGTTAAAAAGAAGAATCCTGGAACACATGAAGGGGAGCCCTGGGGGTTGGGTGCCTGTTTGCCTCATGGGGTATACAGTGCTCTGCTTGCTGTGCCGCCACCACTATCTAATGTTTGCGGATCATGCCCTTGATAGCTGACTCCCGGTTGACATATGTGGCCCAATAGACCAGATTGAATATGGCAAAGAGCACAGGAAAGATGATGCGAGAAATTTTGTCAACCTTGCTGACACTGTTGTAGGTCTTGGTCTCAGTCGGGCTGTCCTGCACATAGGTGGCCTTGGGTGAAGCAATGATGGTTGGGGTTGAGGAGGCACTGGGAGTAGCGCCCTTGGAGATGGTGGAGAACTCAGTGTCCTTGGCCAGGTTGATGGGATAGGTGGTCCCCACGATGTTGAAGGTGGTGCTGGTTTTCTTTGTTGGGGCTGCTGGTGTTTTCTTCTAGGAGTCAGGAAAAAGAGGGGAGAAGGGGAGAACAAAACAAAATCTAATTAGTTCACTACACAGAGTACCTTTAGAGACTGCAGGGAGGAGAAGCCATGAGGGAAGTTAAGAAACAGGAACCATGATGCCAATAGCACTAAGTAGCCAGGTTTATGTTTAGGGATAATTGAAGATGAGTTTGAAAACAGAAAACTCGATCATCTTGGCTTATTAGCTATGTGGCTCTGGCTAAGTCACTTTTCCCCTTTGAGCTTCGGGTTCTTCGTCTATAAAATGAGGATCAGAATACTTGGCAGGGTTGTTAGGAGGATCAAATGAGAGAATGGTGGCAGAAGTCACTGGTAAACTGTGGAATGTCAGTCACATGTGGGGTCTTAGATATCATGTGATTTGATTCTCACAGGAACCCTGTGAGGTAGGTAAGTGAGATTACTTCCTTTTGGCAGATGAGAAAATTCAGGCTCAGACCAAGTGGTGGAGCCCACGCTAGCAGTCTGGACTCCTGACTTTAATCAAGTACTGCACCTTGCTGCTTTCTATAGGCACAAGACACTTTTTGGTTACCCGAGAAATAACTCCAAAAGTCAGCGACCATCAAGTGGCACATCTCCTGTGAGGAAGAGAGCTCAGTGAGTCTGAAAAGTCATTTCATCTTAAAGACACAGTAAATACTATGGCATGTTTACATGCATCATTAAACAGCATCCCACCCTCATGCACTGTAAATGTATCAGCAAGCTTGGGGGCACACCAAGGTTTTCTAGTCTTATAAGGCTGCAGGCAGGAGCCACAGCATCCCCACAGAGCTATGCAAATGACCCCCTCTCATACAGCAAAGGCAGAGAAAGCTGGGAGCTTGCTATGGCACCGCCCTTTAGGCTTATTTTTCAAAGTAAAATAAGCCCCGAACACCCATTAGGAAGTAAGCGCACACACGTGTGTGCATTCGTTCTCACATATGTGCACTTGTGTATTCGTGGAGCCTCACTAGTGCTCCCTTGATGAAGAAAAGAAAAGAAGAAACCAAGCTTAGGCACGGATCAGAACAGGGAGGCTGAGAAACAGGAGAAGCTAAGAGAGAAGGCCAGCCTCAGACTCAGGCCAAAAGCAGTGAGTCTACAGATTGCTGCCTCACTCCACACTCTGGCCTTTTCTTCCTTCCATTCTGCTTTGACTCTAGGGAGAAGTGGACATAGATGAGCTTAAAAAATGCCCCAGTTTCGGGAGCGCCACCACACTCCCAAGCGGCGCACTGTAGCAGTGCGCCACCAGGCCGGCCCCAGGCTTTACTTCTTTACTCCTCTACTTCCTACTTATTTCCTTCCTGGGTTTCTTTATTCCCACCCTCTCTTACTAAACCCTTTCTCCTAATCTCTATTTCTTTTCTTCTTTACTTCAGAGTCCCCATCACTTTTATCTTTTCTCCTTTAGACTTCACTGCCATTTACCTTCCTAATCCCAATGATAACTTTTTGCCCAGTATTTACTGAATGTCTACTGGGCCAAGAACTATGCTAGGTATTTTGAAATAAGTAGAAAGGTTAAAAGATGAGGGCCGGCCCAGTGGCGCACTGTAGCAGTGACACTCCACTTGGGAGTGCAGCGGCGCTCCCGCCGAGGGTTCGGATCCCACATACAGACCGGTTCCCGCTCACTGGCTGAGCGAGGTGCGGGCACGGCACCAAGGGTTGTGATCCCGTTGCCGGTCCCGGTCCGGTACGGGCGCGACACTGAGGGTTGCGATCCATTGCCAGACACGAATAAAAGACAAAAAGGAAAAAAAAAAGATGAGTCAGCTTGAGTCCCTGAACCCTGAATTCCAGGAGCTCACAGTCCAATGTGGGAGAGAGCCTTATGAACACATCATTGTCATATGAGGAGTCTTCAAAAGGTTCATGGAAATATTAGTATTAACCTTTTAATTCCATTTCTCAAAAACTTTTTGAAGTACCCTCATACAATGTGATTAGAGTTCTAACAGATCTGAGCAAAGTGCTAGGGGAATTTTGTAGGGGGAGGAACAAAATACCTGCAGGTGTTGGAAAAGGTGGTTCAGAGAAAGCAATGAGGTTTGTGGTCTGAGTCAGAAAAGATGAGCAGGAGCTCATCAGATGAAGATGCAGCAAAATCCAGTGCATAGGCCAAGGGAACTGTTTGAGAGATGACAAAAAGTTTGCTGTAACTGGATCACAGTGCGCATGACAAAGAGTTGCATGAACTGAGGCTGTGCAGACAGGCAGAAGCGAGATCTTGAAAGGCCTTGTATGCCTTGCTCTCTTGCTCGGCCTGCCTATGCTGGCTTTAGCATTTTCAATCAGGGATGGGGGTGTTGGTTTAAGTAGATGAACAGTCTGACTAATAGCAATACTGTCTAAAAAGCAGTATTGTTCTCTCTCTTTGAGGATTGCAGTCACACTGCTACAAGCAGAAGGAGGACAGAACTCTAAGGCTTCCAAGAATCTTGTAAATGCTTTAAATACCACATGGAACTCGTTTATAATTAGCAAATTCATTGTGTGAATAGAGTCCTGCTGCTAAATGTCTTGGCTATTAAATAAAAGAGCACTTTATTTGTTTGCCTGCTTACTTATTAATTTACTTAGTAATCTCTTTTTTCATGGGTAGAGCAAAAGAAAAAAAAAGAAAGAAAAGAAAAAGGAAAGAAAAAGAAAAAAAAAACACTTCTCTGACTTTGCTGTAAGCTTTCACATGTTATTTCATTTAGTCATCTTATAAGCCAGTTATTACCAAGTCTCTGAAACAATCATTCTGAACAACAAACACTTAATTTTGCTCTGTAGACACTTTGTATTCTATAGATGGAGGGAAGCAGCAATTGATTTAATCACAGATTTTTAAAACAATAGATTATCTTAATTTCTCTCATAATTTCCAACATGATACGTTTTAATGAGCCACTCTAATTTTTACCTAAATTATCAAAAAAGGAAATCAAATCAAATATGTAAAGAATTCTTAGAACTCAATATAAAAAATAATAACCAAATTAAATAGTGGTAAAATGATTTAAACAGGAAAAAAAAAGTTGTAGTGTCAAGAAGACAGAAGCAGGAGGCAGAGATTAATGGTTAATACTTCCCCATTTCTGCATCTAGTTTTTTAGTACTTCTTGCTGTGGAATTTGATAGATACAGACTAGACTGATGACTGACAACTTTGACCAAGTTGCCATTTTATTCTTACCTCCATAAGTGCTTGGCTCTTAGGCACATGGTGGGTGCTTACTGAATGAAAAAATACCCCCCTTATTGAGATTCTCAATGTGGTTTCTGGTTTGTTCCCCATGAGTCTTGACCTCTGCTATAAAGAGACCATATTCCTATAGTTCAGCCTGAGGTAATTTCTATTCCAAAAAGCTGAAACTGACTCCTCTAAATTCTCCAAGTAGTTGGAATGCAGGATAAGAACACCTTTCTTTCTAAATAGCCACTTCATGTGCATTCTGGGATGAGACATTGAAAAATTTTGTAGACAAATGCATGTCCAACTCAGGAATCTTCCTCAGATGGCATTCCTGACAACTGTTTCTAAACGTACTAATTAGAGGGTTAGTTTGGGTTCCAAATGTACTTAAAACCCAACCAGGATCTTGGAGTATATGCTTACATGGTCCAGTGCTTCTGTGTTAATCTCCTTACAGATACCCAGCTATCCTGAACCCCAGTTTCCAGAAGTAAGACAAAGCAATGGAATATATGCCATGTAGGATTTAAAGATGCAAACACTGTGATTTTTCTTTTTCCCCACTGTTTATTTAGGAGAGTATGTTTAGTTTCCAAACATTTGTGAGTATTCTAAATTTCTTTCTGTTATTGTGGTCAGAGAACATATTTTCTATGATCTTAGTCTTTTTTTTAACGAAGAAATAATTTAAACAACAACCAAAAAAGTTTCCCATTCCCAGCAACCTCAGTTCTGTTCTTTTCTCTTATAAAGTTCGATGGATAGCAGTGGGAAAGGGAGAGAAGAAATGGAGAAAGGGAGGAATTGGTAAAGGGCCACAAAAACCAGTGGCATTGTATAGTTATGAATATACTAATTTTAAAAAACCCAATTAAAAAATAAGCAAAGGACTTAGACATTTCCCCAAAGAAGATATACAAATGGCTAACAGTTGCACATGAGATGCTCAGCATCACTAGTTGCTAGGCAAATACAAATCAAAACCACAATGAGATACCACTTCACATCCATTAGAATGGCTAATATCAAAAAAACAGAAGATAACAAATGTTGGCAAGGATGTAGAGAAATTGGAGTCCTTGTGCACTGTTGTGAATGTAAAATGGCGTAGCCACTAGAGAAAACGGTATGGTGGTTCCTTATAAAATTACACATAGAATTACCATAAAATCTGGCAGTTCCACTTCTGGGTATATACCACCCCCCCACACCCCGCAAATTAAAATCAGTGTCTCAAGGAGATATTTGTACAGCCATGTTTATAGCAGCATTATTCCCAAAAGTCTAATCATGGAAACAGCCCATGCATCCATTGAGAGAAGAATCAATAAACAAAATGTGGTATACATACACAATGGAATATTATTCAACCTTAAAAAGAAAAGATATTCTGACATATACTACAACATGGATGAACCTTGAAGACACTATGCTGAGTGAAATAATCCAGTCACAAAAGGACAAAAGTTATATGATTCCACTTATATGAGGTACCTAGAGTAGCAAATACATACAGACAAGTGGAATGATGGTTGCCAGATGCTAGGGTAGGGGGTAATGGTGAGTTGTTAGTTAATGAGTACAGAATTACAATTTTGCAAAATGAAGAGTTCTGGAGATTGACTGCACCATGATGTGAATTTACTTAACAATACTGAACCATATACATAAAAATGACAGTAATGGTAAATTTTATGTTTTACATATTTTACCACAATTAAAAATTATACATATATATACACAAACATACACACAAGGGGTCTTTAAAAAGTTTATGAAAAATGTGTATTATG